CCCCAAAACCCCAAAACCCCAAAACCCCAAAACCCCATAATTTATCTTAGAATTGAAATAATTTAGCGCAAATATTTCAGTTTGAATTTAAAATGGCATTTAACTACACAGAAGAACAAGCAGAAGAGCTTCTTTCTGAGATGTATGCAGAAATAGCTGATCTTAGAGAAACAATGAGCAAGCACTACCACTTTAGAGATCGTTTTATGGAAAGGCCACTGTATGATTTGTTAAAAGAAAACGATTACGAGCCTAATTGGCAAAAGCTTCAGCAACTTCTTGACGATTACTCTATCCATTACTGTGAAGACACAGGTAAGACCTAGATATTGTAGTTGGTTTGTCTCTGTTTTGCTTTTTAAACCCTCCCAGCATTATTCTAACTAGGAAATATAGAGATCAAAATCTTAGTGAAGGAAGAGAAGGTTACCTCTGGAAATTGTCCAAGTGACTTCTATGAGAAGAAGTCTTACTTCAAGAATTTAGTTAATGAGCTGGCTACGAAGAAGTATAAGAGCCAACTAGTGACTAATCCTAGCTACAACTACATCAGCATAAATATTTTTCATGATAGGGAGATTGTCTGCGTTGGAATCATGCTAGCAAGAAAGGTAATTGGGATTACAAGAGTCTACGATTGCATCGATGGATTCTATCTAGAGATTGAGAATCTAGATATTAATTCACATCTGTATGGGATCGAGCTTCTCCCTGAAAGAGGCGAAGCTGGATATATCGGCCCGAATTGTATAGAAATAGAAGATACTTCAAAGGAGATATACTACCATGTCTATCTTGATAGAAAAGTACTCAAGGAACTTGGCTGAGATAATATCTTTCAAATGAACTTCATTACAACTACAGGGAAGCATTCTATCAAATATGGGGATCGAGATGAGCATTTTGACCATGACTTCATTAAATCCAACTGAGGTATCTTACTGAATTTTAAAATTTAGGATTTGCTCATGCGTGTCAATTTCCTTCAAACCCTCAAAGACTTTCGAAAAATATGCAAGAATGTAAAGGATTCAAACCCACCCAAGAGGAGTTAACGATGATCAGATGAGACAAATTTGAAGATCCTCCTGAAAAAGAGAGGACTTCACTTGCAGATAGAGTTTTAGCAACTCAAAGCAAAGAGAATAGAGCACCTAGAGCAGAAGCCATTGATTTCTCGGAGCATGTTGGTCTTGGAGTACAAAGACCCAAAGGAAGACCTCCTCCAGGCTTAGGAATGAGACCTCCAAAAGGTGGAGCAAAGCCAGGTAATAGGGGTAAAAAGGGACCTGCAATCAAAATGACCAAAGCAATGGAATTGAAAATGAAAGCTGTAGAAGACAAAAAGAAGAAAGAGGAGATGCAGAGATCAAGAACATGAAACTATCAAGATAATAATTGTAAGATTACTTTTAATTCTCTAGATATATCTCCTTCTCGACCTACAAATCTACCAAGAAGATCACCGCTGAAGAATTCAATTAGGAAGCCATCTCCTCGTATTGGAATGCACCGAGATAATCGAGGTGGATACAGTATCAGAACACCTCAACGTGATCAGAGAAGCAACAATAGAGGAGATGATAGAAGAATCGTTCCACTTGGAGAAAGACCGATTAGAGGTGATGATAGAAGAATCACTCCGCTCGAAGAAAGGCAGACTAGAGATGATAGAGGAAATTTTAGAGATAACAGAGGAGGCTTCAGAGATGATAGAAGAGATCTAAGGAACGATAGAAAGGATTTCAGAGATGAGAGAAAGAACGATAATCCTTCTTTCAGATCTATTAGAAGAAATCGACCTAGTCATTTTCCAGGAGGTCGGTTTGAGAGGAATCAGACATTTAATGACAGACTCGACCATCAAAGAGATTTTTCTAAATTTAATGATCCTGCTGATGATGGGCATATTAGAGGAAGAGTTTCAGATGTTAGTATGAAAAGTTGCACTCCTTTCAAAAATGAGCCCCCACCATCATTTAATGGTAGCTTTAAGAATACACAAGATAATCCTCACAATCCTTTTAACAGAAGCAGCCAAGAGTCTTCTAATCCTTTTGCGCAGAATAATGCTCATGATAACCCTTATAAAAGATCAAACACAACTGTTGTTAATCCATATTCTAAAGGAGATCCACTAGGAGTAGCTTTTGCAGGAAATACCACAAAATGGGAGAAATCCTTACGCGAAGGTGTATTCGATAGAAAACTCACTACACATCCTACCTCTACTAATCAGTTTGTGCTAAAGAAACCTGAGGTTATCAAACTGGGTCTACCTAAGCCCCCTAGTTCATTTGCAATGCCTCTAAAGCAACCCAAAACTAATCCATTTTCTGATGCAAATTACAAGCCTGATATCCCAGATAATCCCTTCACTAAGAAGAGAGCTGAAAAGGAGAACACTAGTTTCAACAGACAACAGCCAATTTTTAAGAAAGAGACTCCTGTGGCTCCACAAAGACCAGTATTAAGACAGATGCCAGTCCAGAATATCCTTCCTCCTCAGGACTTAGATTCTCAAGAAGTGCCACAGTACCATAACGAGGAGAAATCCAGAGGAGCTCTGATTTCAGAAGTACTTGACTATTTTCTTCATAGCGATGTTGCCGAAGTGCTTGGAGGAAGTACCAGTCCTCATACAAAATCAAATGTGAAACAGAACGAGGTTTACCAGCTGGTGATCAAACCACTTGAGTTAGCCTTCCTCAGAGATATTCCAGTGAACGATTGCTTCACTGAATTATACGAGAAAAATCGTGGCCATGACGTGCAGCTGTATTTTAGGAGAAATTGAGAGGTTTTAAACGCTCATAAGATTGTACTCTCTACATCTAAATATTTTGAAAAGCTTATAGAGTCTAGCTTGAGACATAGGCCTGAGTATACTAAAGACGGCAAGCTCATATTAAGATTCGAAGATTTTGATTCAAGTATTTTTGCAAGAGTTCTTAAGATTATGTACAAATCTAAAGTTGGGGATGTTGGAGTGCCAATTGATGAAGCAAGATCTATGTTCAAACTCGCTTGTAAGATCAGAGCAAAGCATGTACAAAGACACATTATTGTTCACCTACTTCTTCCTAATCTAACTATAGAGAACTGTCTGTACATTCTAAACGATTCTTTTAACCAGCTTGAGAGAAATGGAGTTGATGATTCCAATCTCACTCTATTTGAGCTAACCAAGCTCTTTTGTGCAAGAAGATTTATCAAAATTCTTAGTCTATATGGAGATATTGTGCATAAACTCAAGAAAGAGTTATTGCTAAAATTGATCACTAAATCCTTATATTTTATTAGTGATGAAAGCAACATAAAGGATTTCATTAAGTTACTTTATTCAAAAGGAGCCTATAATGATATGTTCGAGCTCTGCACTCTTACTTCAAAGGAGTTCTCCAAAGCAGTCACTTTTGATTTGCAGGATATCAATATTGACAGAGTATTGCCAAATATAGGATTTGACCCTGTACAGTATGATCTGATTACGGAAGAAACCGTGGCTAAGAGAGTTTCTAAAGAACCAGGAAGTAAGGATCAATACCAAAAAAAAGAAGAAAGATATACTCCAAAGAGATCACCTCTAAGCCAGTCTAATTCAAGTTATGAGTTCTCCACTCCTGTTGAAAATAAAGTGAGTTCTTCAAATAAGATCAGTTGCAAGATTCCTAATTTGGAGCTCTCTTTGGAGGTCAATCATTCTGATTTGGAAAGAGGAGGAGTCACTTATTTCTCAGAATGATTTCACTCGTTTAGTGCAACCTGGAACTTAAAAGTCGATATCAAACCCAATGGAGATACTAGTGTATATCTAATCGAAAGAGATTACAAGAAGCCCATTGAGGAATCTAATAACTTTGGACTTGTGTACAGATATGACCAATCAAGAGCAAGCAAATCCTCAAAGAGAATCAATAATGGCCAAAACGCTTTATTTTCTCTCAATTTTAAGTCAGTTTTCTTCAGTGTTACTATCTGTGATTCAAAATTATCGAAGGAATTTAAGCTGTTTCATTCCTTCTCAAAGGATCAGAATGAGATAGTTGGATGAACCAATTTCTTTAACATGTCGCATCTATCCAACCAGAATATGATTACTCTAAAAGTCCGGATTGATGAGAGAATCCTCCACTCTGCAGTCTTGCATATTATTGCCCAACGCTTTATCAATTATAGCAGAATAGAGGAAGAGACCGATCCTGAAATTGAGAAAAAGGTCAAATACTGCTTACTCAAAAATGGCAATTTAAGAGTCAGCGAAGAAAAGAAAACTAATTATGAAGAAAGGCTGATTAGAGAGAAAAGAGAATGGAATGAGGAGTATGTACAACCCAGAAGAAAGAAAAGATACTCCACACCACCTTCTGTGCTTAAGCAAAAGATGGTATTTAGCGATAGAGAAAGAGGTTAGCGAGAGTCTTTTAATTTTATAGATCGAAGATATGCAAGGCATGATGATCAACTTCAACAGTATCGAGGATATCTTGATCTTACTTATTATGATCTCTCTTTCATTTTAAAGTCAGATCATCTGAACATTCCTACTGAACTTAAAGCTCTGCATGCTGTCTATCGGTACGGGATTAAAGTCCTGAACGACCCAGGTGTTGCTAATAGACTTATTAAATGCATAAGGTTTTCGTACCTAGAGCTCTCAGATATCATGAATGTAGCCAGGAGTAATCTGAAGTTCTTCTCAAATAGTAAGGAATTTCAAAATAAATTGTCCTGAGAGATCATAAGGAGAATGAAATCAGGGATTATCGGGAGCAATCAGGGTGTAGACCCACCTCGATCCCAATACATCAGTAAGAAGGTCGAAATCCCCACTCACGTAGGAGAAGAAATAGCAAGATGGATGGTTCAATGGGAAGACAATAGAAGAGATAAAAGAATGATCGAGAAACTCCGCACTCAACTTACAAAATATCAAGATGAGAAATCATATCTCAAGAAAAAGCATGAAAAAGATATGCATGAAATGCTCAGACAGCAAGAGAAGATTCGCAGAAATGCCACTCTCAAGTATATTTCAGCTTATATTTTTAGGTTCCAAAGCTCAGATGATACCAAAGATCAAAGGTATAACAAGCCAACTAGAAGATCAAATGAGCTAAAACCTAATAAAAAATACAGTGCAATGGAAATGCTTGGGATTAGAAGGGCTCCAATCTCAAAATCTGAAGTAGAGTCTTCCAACAGTAAGTCTCAAAAGGTGTAACTCCTCTAGAAAAGAAACCTATTACCGAAGATTGGAGGCAGAAGAAAATTGAAGAAAGAAAACAAGAGAGAAAATTTGAAGAACAGAAGCAGAAAAGAGAGATAGAGGAGATAAAGACCAATCCCCTAAGTCTTAAGAGGAGAGAGGACCAACAAAGAAGGAAAGAGCAAGGAACATCTTATGGCAAAAGATTTGCCGATGCCAATATGCATACTCCTATTGTCCCAAATCAGAAGAGAAGCTCAGTGACATACACAAGAAATGCAAGAAGAAGGAATCAGAGTAGATGGAAAATTCCAGTCCCTGATTTTTGCTCGATCTTCTAAGTAATGAAGCTAATATGATATAAAATATCAGTTCAATTCTTATGATTAAGTGCGGGGTTTTGGGGTTTTGGGGTTTTGGGGTTTTGGGGTTTTGGG